ACTTTACTGAATGATCAAAGGTAAGACTCGTGTTAATATCCAGCGCTAGGCGGCGCAGTGAGCGCTGCTGTCTAGAACTGCCGTTTATCATTGACTGAAACCTGATGTAAATAGTTCAGATGATTTAAGCAGCAGCTCCTGACAGCTGAGAGCTCGATCATGATGGTTTCTGATAGTTTGTACTGTACGCTGTGGATGTTATCGTTTTTTGGTGAGTTTTTTTTGTAATTCAAAAATGTATGTTGAATTGCTGTGTATAATAACTAGTTAGTTGGAACTATTTTAATTATGTAATTGCAGAAAAATATATGTCCGCCTTTGCAGTTAATCATTGCTTTTGTTGTTGTGAACTTGTGAATCCAACTAAATATTTAACTACAGCAGTTGTAGCAGATAAAAAGTATGCCATCTAGTGCAATTAGTCAATAACTCTTTCTTTCTTTCTTTGACATAGGCCAGTATTTAGGAGAAGACCTGCAGTTTTCTGGTCCGGCTAATGGAGCAGTAGGAGGAAGTGTGGTGTTCGCTCCTGATAACCCGCCCTCCACAACACTTAATATAGTTCAGTGGCAGTTTGGAACAACTCTTATATTGATAGCACAGTCTGATTCAACTACAATAGTCCCAGAATACAGTGACAGAGTCAGTTTTGACAGAAACACTCTCGCTCTGGAGCTCTGGGACCTGAGACTGGATGATTCTGGAATATACAGACTGACTGTAGTAACTAGTGCTGGAGAGACACTTACAGGAGAAACTTCACTACAAGTGTTTGGTGAGTGTTTTGCTTAAACTTCTGTATTTAAAATTAAAGCATCGGCTACATAGGGTTAATATATGAGTATATGAAATGAATTTAATGTGTGGAAGGGGAAAAAGCGACAAAGCAATTTAATATGCTGTAAATTAAATTAAATTAAATAATGTGTAAAAATGGCAATAGTGACAAGCTGAAATACTAATGAGAGTATAATAATAATATTTTAGATATGCACAAGTCTGCTGTTATTTGCAGTGAGCTTTGTGGTTAATTGTTACTGAACCAGATGTGCACAGATGAGTGTTACTTAGGGCACTCGCATGTTTAAACTTTTAAAAATGTTATTACATGGAAATCACGTAGAAACTGTCTTGAAAATTTGTAACTTCATAATTTATTTTGAAATAACTTTTAGACAATAGATTTTTGTTGTTTTACTCTTGTCTGAGACCCAGATTTTCAG